ATTTCTGCTTTACTCCTTACCAGCTGTGTGAGTTTAGGTGAGTTGCTAAACCAATGTGACCCTCAATTCCATATTTTATGAGGCAAATTATGTGGTAAACAATAAATTTTAATAATTTATTTTAAAGCATATTATATACTTTAAAGTACAATGTCAATGTGCCTAAATCCTTAAAACTGCATTCTTTGGATAAAATATGGGAAATCCTGTTACAATTCCCTGTTTCTAATCCCACTGCCTCAAATGTGAAAAATTTATCAAGTTAATCCTAAAAATATTTGCTAAATTCAATTTGTGTTCACGGTATTCTGAAGATGTTTGTTAAGGTAATATGGGCTGATTTGTATAATTATATACGTAATTCTTGGTTCTACTATCGTGAAGGATAGCTCAATAAATTCAGCACTGTTTTAATCCAGATATTCATTCCCATGGCATCTGGGCCCATTCTCAGTGAAATATAGAGGGCTTTGAGTGTTTGCTATGCTCCCTTCCTTCATACTTTTGAGAATCAAATCTGAGTTCTTCCTCACCTCCAGACCTTACCTAAGCAAGAGACAGACCACCTGGCCTTTAGAGTAAATGCCTGAAAATAAATGCCTGAAAAGCACGAGGCTTCCTTGTTTTAAAATAAGATCACTGTCCTACTTAACTCTGAGTACCTGATATTGCCCGATTTTCAAAAGACAGAATATGCGAAGCGATTGAGGTAAACTGAGGAAGAAAAGGAATTAGTAAGTTTTGGAGCCAAAGAACAAGATTGGCAAATATATGCCTTAAACAAACAATAAATGCTAAACTTGCCCTAAATTACGGGAATTGAAACCACAGGCAAATATCTGATGTATGAGGACTCCTTACCTAGTCCACATCCTCAGGAAATATAAATAACCCTTAATGCTTAAATACTTTACTATTTATCTTTTGGGGGTCGGGTGGGGGTATCGAGACAATATACAATTTCTTTGGAGGGCAAATAAGCAACTTCCACAGTTATGGGGAAAGGGTAGTTTTAAATTTAAGCTAGAGGAAGAAAGGAGGCAACAGAAGTATGGCTTTCTTCCCTGCATTCCAGTTGGTTTGATCGATTACTAGCAACAGCTCTCAGGTTGACTGAGGGCCTCTGCCCCCAAATACAACCATCAGGTGATTTTTAGGGTCAGGAATGGTCTTTGCTCCCCTTCTAAGACAACATAATAGAAGCACTTACTCTCTGCAAGTGGCTGCTTAGAAAGAATATCACTCTTTTCATTATTTACTCTGTGAGTTGTAAGTTCTTACATAGACCTCTGAGTGTGTAATTGTAACTGTCCGGTAAAAATTTACTTAAACCGCTGGTTTCAAGAATCTGTGTTCTTGGGTTCTGCATTCTTAGCAAACAAAACTTCCCATTTAAGTAGGTCAAAAAAGGTTTTTGAGGGTTTTTGTGGTACTCTAGAAATCACATTGCTTTCACTGTATCACTTTGATCACAGGATATTTTTCCTGAGAATTTTAGTATGTCAATTTATCGTTACTTCTTTAAACAAAATGATTATGTGTATATTTTTAGCCTGGAAACAAGATATAAAAGACAGAGAGAAGATAAGTGAGTCATTGTTTTCCCTGAAAAGATATCCAAATATATTTTAAATGTTCTGTACTTTAAAGTGTAATTTATGAAATATAAATTATTATCACAATTTTCATTTTTAGCCATAGTTTTAAACATTTCTTAGATTCCTATCTGTGATTAAATGCATTCTTATTATGGGAAGTTTGTTCTATCACAGTAACTCCAATCATGGAATGAAATACTGTAAAAGGTCTTTCTGTATTTTAAAATACCAAATTAAAATAAACCATACATGAAACAGTGATATTTCCACTTAGTTATGTATTTAAAAGTTTAAATATCTTTGACTTAAATTTTAAGCACCTTTGATCTCTATCTTTTTGAAAGATTTCTTATCCAATAAAACCTCTCAATATTCATCTTTAACACTGCCATTAAGTATCATTACTGGCACAATTAGGCTGGTCTGTGCTGGGTAAGGAATGGGTAAGGAATTAAAGAGTGATCATTGTCAGAAGCATTTGGTCTCTCTTCATTTTAAGTCTTCTTATTATTATCATTTTATTAATCAAGCCAATCAATTTATGAAATGCACTTTACTGAGAGATTGCTATACACCAAAAATGTGTTACACCAGAAATCCAAAAAAGAAGGAATCATAGGCTCTGCCTTCAAGAAACTTTCAGTGGAATATGATCCTTGGCTAGATGCTGAATTAATAAGAAACCTGGCCTGTGATTCATCAATGCCCCAATAACAGGGGAGGGAAAAAACGAAAACTTAAGCCTCATCTTTGTATATTTGAGGATATTCTCTAGTATCTGGCTGCATAGCAGGTTTTTATCCTTGGACATTGAATAACTAGGCAATGAGATCTAACAACCATCCGGTGTTACTCTTGTAACCATACTCACATTTTCATCTTTACATAGCTTCACATTAACATTACAAATATTGTATTTATTTGCATATGTGTATATAATCTATTCAATCTTTTGCAAAGTTAATTAACCACCAAACATTTATAATATTGAGCATTTACTTCACATAGAATGCTGGGGGGAGGGAGGGGAGGAAAGAATGCTATTAAATAACATATCCCAAAAGACTGATAGTTGTCTTTTGTGATGGCTAAACCAATGATACTCTCTATCTACAACCAGAGGGAAAAAATAACTTCAGTGTATATCACTGTAATCACTGGGAAAACAACTCAATCAATATTCAAAGTGACTTAAATTTATGTTTCCACAGCTACCTTCTTTAAGGCGCAAATAAAATTTCAATATTTTTTTTACCTTACTTGGTGTCCCATTTCTCCCATTGTAACTTAATGCTATAACTCACCAAAATGTTTTAAAGTATTCTAGTGTGTTCTTGCTGTTTGAAAAGTTTTATAATCATAAAATCAAATTACGTTTAATCTATAAAGGTTTTAAAAAATTTAGATTATCAAAAAGAAATACCCATTATCTCTATAATCCCATAATCTCACCACTAACAACAAAATCATTTAATAATTTGGAATATGTCTTTCAAGTTTTAGTGTCTTTCTCTCTCCATCCCCTCTTCTCTCCTTTCCTTCCTTCCTCCTTCCTTCTACTTTTTTCTCATCTCTCTGTCATTGTCTCTCAAATGAGACCACCATACTATACTATTTAACAATCTGCTTTTTTCCCTTTATCATATGATCATTACTTAGGAAACTAATTAAATATGTTTCTAGTGTCTTCCAAAGGTGAGATATTTAAATCGTATTCTAAACTTTGTTTTGGGATGTATTCTAGGAGTGTATTATAGTTTATTTAAACTTATTTTGGAATATTAAGATTGTTTCCAATTTTTCAGTATTATAAACAATACTTCAAGAGGCACATTATTTTAGCCAAATATTTTTGCGTGTCTATGAACATTTCATTAAGAATTCCTAGATGTCAAATTGCTGGATTATAAGATATACTCCAGCTTTTTAAAAAAATTTATTCATTTTATTAATCAATCTCACACCAATAATTTTTAATAATAACAAATGTCTGTTGTTTTAAGCATCCAATTTGTGATAATTTGTTATGGCAGCCATAGTAAATTAATACGCCATATTTCTATTTCCTTTCTTTTTGTACAGACCTTGCTTAAATGCCAAAGATTTCTTTTTTTAATTTTATTTTATTATTAGCTTCAAGTATACAGTACTTGGTTAGACATTTATATAGTTTATGAAATGATCTCCCTGACATCTCTTTCTCTCCTCTGGCTCTCCACCTAGCCATTACATTAATGCTGACTGCATTCCCTATGCCATCTCTCCATCCCCCGTGACCATCTATCAACGACTAATTTGTACTTCTTTAACCCTTCACCCCATTCTCTCATTCCCCCAACCCCACTCCCCTCTTTTTAAAGGCTCAGTGATAGCCCAGAGGTGAGTGGGCTTTACCTAACTCTTGCCCTTGCTGGACACAGAAAATGAGTCTGCAATTGTAGGCTGTAAGCATCTGCACACACGGCCACGAAACATGGATTGGAATGGGTCGCGCCCCATCTCAACAATCTGGTGCCTAAGTGGTAAACTGTAGTGAAGCTCCCCGCTACCCACGTGGCAACAGAGCAGACTCATCCCATGCTAAATGTCCCTGTCCCTCTCTGTCCAGCTGGACTCTGGCACCCCCAGGTTCCTCTTGCCACACTCGCTGAGGGAAAGTGCAGCCAGATGTGAGGTCCCGCCCGAGCTAAGCCCTGCTCGATTACCCACCGTCTCCTCTGAATGTGTTTTCCGTACAGTCGCTTTGCTACGCTCTGAAATCTCAGACCACGCTGAATTTGCTTGTTTTATGGCTCAGAATTTCGGGAGCAGCACCACAGATGTTAAACGTGAGTCTCTTGGTGCTAGTAAAATAAACCTTAATCAAACAGGGGTGTCGTGACTCAAAGGGTTAGATAGCCCTGAACACATTTTGTAAGTT